AATGGGTATATCATCCGAATTACAACGAAACCCGGTATTTTTTGGCGATGTCGCAGAAAGGTCACATGTGTTTTATTATACGGTTAACGGGGACATGGTTTATTTTATTTTTTTAAAGCTTATTTATTTTATTACCATTTTTTTCCGTCGCGTTCCCATCAAAAGTGTAGGCGCAAGGCTGCGCGATTTGAACGCAAGTAAGTGAATTAATAGTGACAAGATGGATAACATGATTGGTTACCATCACGCGAAAGAAACGCGTGTACAAGTCATGCGAACACAATATTTTCAAAAAGAAATTCGTTTACCTTGTCCCACGACACGAGCCCGTGTAACAACGTTTTACTGCATTTAAAACAAAACCTACAATATATTTATCCTTGGTTTTGTATGAACAAATTACTTTTTTTTATATATATATTTATATATTATGCACATATTTTATTTCCTTTTTTATCCTTAATACTAAAATAAAACATAACGATACCGAACCCCGGCCTAGGTCAGATCACAACTTTATTGTGTTTTGTATATTAATATATTTTTTTTGTTTTACTGCGTTAGTAAACAACGAACCCCTTCGAAAGATTACCAAAGTAAATATTGGGAAAGAATAAATATAAAAAAACAAGACACACAACAATACCCGGTTTCTATTATATGCGCCGTTGACGAAAAACCTTAAACCGCAACGTGCCAGAAGTTTTTCGCACACAGTTCGTTTATTTAAATCAAGAAGAGATACTTTCAAACGAAACCGAATTTTTGGCCTAAAGCCCAGACGATTCAAAGGTATTCAAAGGTATTGGGTTTTGTTAAGTTCATCAATATATATTACCTGTTCAAATACATTGTTCTATGCTCAAAAAATATCGATTTATAATCTGCAACTATATATAGTATACTTAATTTGTTCTCAGATATATATTTTGATAAAACTGATGACTTACTAAAATAAAATTGCATCACGAGATATCAAGAGAAGGATTTTCAAGTGACATTTTTCAGCTTTAAAAATCTTTTTTATAAATGAAAAAAATTGAATAAGTTTTCAAGTAAGATGTTTTTTAATAATAAAATGTCCTATGTCAATAAAATGTTAAGTAAAACCATGATGAAGTACTTATGAGTTGAGCTAGGGATCTGAAATTGTAGAGATTTATTACTTAAATAGAATAATATCAATTGATAGGCAAAGCCCGGAAAATAATGAAAAAGAAAATATATATATATATATATATATATATATATATATATATATATATATATGATTGTTTATTTAAATATAATATTTATGTACCAAATCGAAAACCTTTATAGTAAACGTATTGAAATTGAAATTGCTATTTTTATTAGGAATAAGTTCTCATACAAAAAAAATATTTTATAAGGTGTGTTTAACATTTATAATGTACTGTATAAACAAATATTGAAGTTATAATTTTCCATCAACTGATGGGTCTCATGGTTTGAGTTTACGCAGTTTTTATAAACAACAAACGTAGAAGTCTAATATGACATTTGAGGTTAAGTGAACGACAATGCATGTGATAAGAAGTCCAACTTCTATATAGAAATACCAAATGGTGATGTTTGTCTCATACAGCTAATAGGTTATTTTATATTGTGCTAAAAAAAAATACTGCTTAAGAAAATGCCACATACAAAATAAGTCAAATGTCATAATACAATAATTTAAACCGTTTTTTTTTAGATGTCCGGTTTATGTATATTTATACTATTTTTTTAAAAATTTAATAAATATTTTACCATTACTTTTTATTGTTATTAGTAACATTATATGTGTAGCATTTTTTTTACTTTACTATCGGTGGTGTTTTAAGTATAAAATGACAACAAGATCAATCATTATTTAGCTTTAACGGACAATATTATGATCTGTATATAAAAATCAAAAGACAATAATTCATTTACTAAATATCTGAAACGCAACAGTTCACACAACTTAAACTACTTATGTAAGAAATTAATATTAACGTTTTTGGATAGATCACAGCTGGTCGTTAAATAGACACTAAATAATGGTAAACATAGCGATGCATATGTTTTAATAGCGTTGGTATCGTCATTTTTTTACTGGTGCGTATAATAGCTATTATATGTGTACTTTTTAAGTATATTTATCAAATCAAATTGTCTACAAAACAGGGAAAAGTGGGATAATCGTTAACGAATGGAGCTAATACTGTGTATTTTAATGAAAAAAAATATTTGTTTTATTTTATTGTGTAGTACACAATAACAGCGTACATATAAATAATCATTCAATAAGAATAAAAAACTAAGAATTCTGAAAAAAGGCAATTAACAAGTGAAGAATCCAGTTCTTTCTATACAAATAGTAGATCATGGAAAACTAAACTTTTAATTATTTCACACAGATTTCATTCATTACCCGTTTTGCATGGTAATGATCTGCGTTGGTTTTTAGCTGAAAACAAGCAACTGGTGGTTTCCGCTGGTCTGCCTAATAATTATCAGCTGTTCCACGCTTGATTTTAAAAGGTCGACCATACAACAAAGGGCACGTGTCATGTGATCGATAAAAACGTGATCATTCGCAATAGTTACGCAAGTAGTAGTTTCTTAACTGTTTTTAGAAATCATTTACCAATTGTGTTATTGATTTTTTCTTTGTGCACAAAAAAAAAACAAAAGCACCGACTAGATTTGTACTTGAACTGCGGGTTAGCGACCCAAACAACGATGTGCATCTGAATTATTCATTAAAATATATATTCATAACATAAATATACATTCAAAACAGTTATATTGATATGGTCAGATTTATTTCATATTATGTCGTCGTCGAATTTTTTTTTAAGTTTGACGTTCATTTTTATAACAACATTTTTTGTTTACCTAAATTATAAGCTCATCGCAATTTACTAAAACCCGCACGTCATATATTATGTATAAGCTGTTTTTCCCAATGCAAAATACTGTGGGTATATATTATTATAAAGTTTTTATATTAGTTTAGTACGCTTTCAAACCCAAACTAGTACACACTTATATATATATATATATATATATATAATAAGTATATTATACACTTGCAAATGATCAATTCAAACGAATGGTCGACACGAGCAGATTAAATTCCAATGCATAGACTCTAGACAGAGCTGTGAATTTTGTAAAACCTAAAAGGTACTTAGATACTTGTGGTTTTGTATGTATAAATAATTTCTATTATTTCTTTTTTTATTTATGTCTTGCCGAGAACGCTTTGTTCGACAGGCGAATTCAACTTGAAGCAAATCTAATATATACAGGTGTACACGTGCTGCGTTATGAACATAAAAGGCCAATTCAACTGAAACCACAATACATCAACACTTGCGGTTGTAGTGAAACACAGGTAGGGGTAACATATCGAATTAGATTATACTGTACTCGCATCGAAAAGACTGTTGACGACGCTGCCGACCTTAAACAGAGATGTAAGTATTAACTTAGCATCGAATAGCAAACCGACAAGGTGACTTTTAAAAGTGTCATAAAATCACCAAGTCCGAAAACAGACTTGTAACATATTATGTTGTACCTACGTTGTAACAGAACACCATGTTCTCCACTCGAGTCCTAACCGGCTGACAGTTAATTCCTGACTTTTGTGTGGAAATCCGAGTTAAGTAATTTTGATGTAACCGTCGTTAATTAAATTACATGATATTATACATATTAAGCTTTTCGAGTGCGCGTTTTCTGTTTACAACGATATTAATTGACGAACACGACACGGTACTCGAAATTATCAAACACATTACATTTAAAAACATTATAGCGATTTCAAAAAAATATATAATAGTAATAATAAACGGCGAATGACTGAATTATGTAAAAAACGGCAATGTACGGGCGCAAAAAAAAAATTAACTACTTGCCATTTTCTTAGAAAAAAAAACTGAAATTACCGTCGCGGAAGAGAAAAAACGACGCGGTATTTTACTTTTATTACTATTGTTTTTACCTTGTTATTGTTTTTTTTTCTAACAAACTATACTTTCTTAAGTATAAAAAAAATAAAATGAAAACCGAATTTTCAATGCGGTAGTACGAGACGGCAACTCGTAAAATGTTAACGAGTTCCAGGGCAACGGTATGAATTTTTGGCAGTTCAATTTGTGTTTATGGAAATAATGTAAAAAAATAGACATCACGCGAAAACGATACGTCAGTATAGTGCTTTCACGTTTTTCGGACCGTACGTAGAACATTCTGTGAAAAATACAAAATACACGATGTTGTCTTTTTTACTGTTATCATTTTATATACTGAAAAACACCATACTAACCATACCGTTAAAAACCTCTTTTTTTTTTTTGCTAGTTCAAAAAGGCCAATGTACTGTGTAAACAAAATCAGAGATAATCATAGTCTACAGGCAGCCGGCTATATGAAAACAGATAGCTCACTAGACCGAAAATTAATTAGAAAAATTAGCCGCATGAATTAGTATAAATCATTTTGCAGATATTTGACAATATTATTGTACAAACTGACTATGTTATTAAGAAATTACATGATCGGATCTGTGGTCACACTAAATTCATATTCAGTCATGTGACGTGTGCCATCTGTTTTCATATAGTCTGTGCTAAAGCAACTTATGAATCATACCGACTTTTGTTGCTTTACAAGTAAAAGAAATAATCTTGACGAGCTCCTAAGAACATTTTTTGAAATCATAATACACATATTATACATGCTACCCTGTGTCTATCATGCTCTATATATTTGGACGTCATTCACATAGATGGGCGTAGGAGATGGCCTATGTTAACCACTGTAGTTATCAGACTGTAGTTATCTTTTGGGCTGGTCTCACAATAATTAAAAACGGGTTCGACTTATTCAGTAAATCTCATTTTGGGTAATGGTCGAATGAGAAAATGTAAACGACATTTTAAATAGAAACTAGTAACTGTAGTAATACCCTAAGTATATTACTGTTACTATAGTATATTACTCACCGGTATTGATGTTTTGACAAAAAACAATCAAGATCCAGAATGCATTGACAACCAGCATTTCCATTTCAAATGTTTGATCAACGATCGCATTGAGAAACGACTGATCCTAAAAATTAAAAATAGAAGCAACGAATTAAGTAATTTTTTTAGTAATTAAGTAAATGTTTTAAATAACTTAACTGAAGAATAATATACAAAATTAAAATAAAACTATCCTAAAAATTTAAAACTCGTGTCCTTAAAATGCTAAGTAGGTATAGAAAAATACAATTTCGTGTCATTCTACCAGGTCGTTTGAAACAATTATTTTGTTTGAACGTTTGAAATTACAAAAGTTAATACCGTCAGATATATTGACACAGTGCGACAGATCTCTAATTATCTAGACAGTGATGGATTTCACCTGTAAAAGAGCAAAAATAAAACTGGAGGTGAGCGGTGGCCGGTTTGAGTTTGCTTTCATTGTAGTTTATATATTTTTCAGATTCGTTATTTTATTTATTTATTTATTTTTTTTTTTAAATTAATCTATATTTAATGTATTTTATAACAAAAGCGTTTATGAAGTTCGGCAATTGAACAGTTTGAAATTCGACGATTTGATTATAACTCCGGAAACCATAATGGAGAGAGTTTGGAATTATATTAAACTTTCAAACAGAATACGTTAAAATTTAAAAATGAAACATTTTCAATTGAGAAGCCAAACAACATTTGTTTGTTTATCTATCCAGTTAAGCACAAACATAGTCGCACACGGAGTAAACAACAATGTTACAATTATGATTCCAAGTAATAATAAGTTTAATTTCTAAACTTTAGTTAATAAGTACATAGCATTTTTTTTAAGAAAATATTTTGTTAACTTGACGAAATTTTTACAGTTAAATTAGTATTTTATAACAAAAATATAATATACTTAGTAAAAGTCATTTATGAATTGTGATTATTGCTTATGTTATTCAAATAAAGCATTTTTCTTTAGTGCAATAGGTACATGTTTATTTTCCAAAACAAGTCTACCTTTATAAAGATATCAACGCAACGCAGAGAACTGTATAACATTATTTATAATACGGCGATTTTTGTTTATTCTTAACATGAAAAAATTAAAGTAATATCAATGTAAAGTAATGTAAAGTAATGTCAATTGAAGTATCCAATATGTCATCCGTTATGGGATATGGGAAAAACATATCACTTATTAGATTAATATGGTAATCGATAAGCTTACAGAATAGGTACGTGCCGGTGGGGTTACATAAATATTTGAAGGTATAATTTTGTTGTCGGTAAAGTTTACTTATTTTTTATTATTTGACCCTAGTCGCTATATTACCTGTAACTCGGTGGAATTTACAATTGGCCGTTTTTTCTACTTATTCATAGGTTATATTAATTTTACTCCTCGTTTTGAGCTAAAGACTAGTTGCTCTAAATGTACCCTAAACGACTATAAAGAAAAAAATTATTACCTTTTTAACTTTCCTTTTTATTTTCTACCCTTTTACTTTTAAACCTCTTTTTTTCTCTACTTTGAAAAACTTAGATGCTTATTTATTTAGTCTGTACATAAACATATAAATAAAAACACCACACATACTGCTGAAAAACTGCACTCTTGCACTGCTTAATTATCTATCATGGGATAAATTATGTAAACGAAAATGCCAAAAAAAATATAGACTCAAATATTAATATTAATATTTGAAAATATTCACGAAACAAATACAATTTCAACCCACGTAAATTGTTAGAAAACCCACATGACAAAAATTGTTTAGATGATCTAACTTGTTTAAGGGACCTAAAATAATAAAATATCTTACATAAACAAACACCAGCCAAGAAAACAAATAAACCTTTAATTCTGTAGTATAAGGCGTAGAATATGTAGGCCTTCAGAGTTTTAACATCCATAACTAAGTTGCGAATCAAATAAACTAATATTTACTATTTAGAACATATATTATACGTCCATGTCTATCCTATCAACGTAAAAAAAGCCACATTACATACAAACGATAAGAATACAAATTCACTTAAAATAATTATGAAAAATAATTTGTTTTTTAGAAACAATGGTAACATTTTTTAAGACAATCCTATTAAATATCGGAAAAATAGAGCAGGTCTAAAAGATTTCGACCAGAGTTTATCTTATTGACAAACTGCGTACGATATTAGCCATATATTTTCAATAAAATCATTTTATTACTTCCTATATAATAGTTGACTTTTATTATTTAGGGTATCCTTCGATTTTATAAGCCTGAAACACTCATTTTCCTTCTCGCAGCGTGCGTATCGCGTAAACGTAATATTTTACTTTTGTGTAGTAAATAAACAATTTTTAGAAACCAAAACATTGATGAATTTAATTTTACATTTCGAATACACAAAAATAAATCGATAACATAATTGAGAAAGAATTGACCAATAATTGGGCCACGATATTATTTTTCTGGAGAATAATAAACAATTTAAATAATACAATTATTATTATATAGACTTTGGTATAAAATATAAATAGTTGGTATTAACTCAACAGTATAATTCGATATTGTCATATGCTGGGTCTCTTAAACATCAGCCAATCGGGAACACCGTCATAGTTTTTGCCATGCCATAATTTGTAATTATTTTTTCAGATTCGGTTTTGAATATAATATTTTTACTATAGCTGTGTAGATTTTTTATTGGTATATCAAAAAACAATAAAAACCTAACTACGAGTATAAAAAAAAAACTTACTTGACGTCAAACGCTGTGTGACGCGTCGAAAACGCGCGGGAAATTACATTACCGTATGTTATTTTTCAATGAGTGTAATTATTATTGTTGACGGATTTGTAACGTGTTTTTCGTTATACGAAAAAATCAATGCATTTAAAATAATAATAATCGTATATATATATATATTAAAAAACGATATCGGCGTAGTGGCAAACTCGCGCGAGGGCGGCGGCGGCGGCTGCAGCGAAATCCCAACGACGGCGTGCGCGGCACACTGCTGACTGACTGCCGGCCGGCGCGCGCGAAGATTTCGGCACGGTGGCCCGCGGATGATAACGGACCGTTTCGGCGGCACGCGCCTCGCTCTCGGCCACCGACAATACCGCGGCGGCAGAGAGGCAGAGGTACACGGGCCCGCGCGCGTTATCTCGACCCCGTCGCGTCAGACCTATAGACACCGCGCGCGGGTGGAGCCAAAATACCGGCGCACGTCCCTCACGTTTTGCCCGCCAATTACCGGTTTATTTAATCACGCCCGGACGTCGCCCCCCCCGCCGTCGCCTTCCCCTATATATATATATGTATTATTATATAAACGTGCGACCAACGCAAGTCCGGGGTAGGATTCGCGTTCCCTCTGAGCGCGGTATTTTAAATCGAACGCGGCAATGAATTATCCCGAGCGCGCGAAAATCCCCGAATTCCGGTCCGGCCGCACACCTACCACCCAACCCGCCACAAATCCCCGACGATAATTAGAGCCGGAATGAGTGTAAAAAAAAAACCATAATGAAATGGCGACGAGGAGAAAACAAATCGACAGATAAACGCTGGCGAGGAGTTGGGGAACGGAGAGCGGCAGCATAGGACTTATATCGCTCGTAAATTACATACAATGCGGATGTATTTAAGAAGATAAAATCAGCGTTAATCAGCGAAATGCAGAAGAGCTCGTACGAGGCAAAAAGTTTAATGCAATGCGGCGTATGAACATGTGAGCTGTACATGTGTTTACGTACATCGGAATTGATGCAAAACCGTCGACGTTGTTATCTCTCTGATAGGAGGACGATTTGACAAAACAAAATAAAAAAACCTCATTCACAATTAAATACTTGACATTATTTAGCATTTACCGAGGCCGAGAAAAATTTTAGACATTAGATTAACGAGATGTATAGCGCCCTTTCAGGTGGCGTAGTTAACGTGGTTGTAGGAGGGGAGGAGGGAAGCTCTCCCAGGACGCATTCTAATTGAGGGGCGTTTTTGTACGATTTACTATACCGCATTAACGTGTAAGATAAGGCGCAAAAAAATTACTTTACTGTAAACTATAATAAACCAGAGGTAAACTTATGCATTCCTGTATAAGATCGAATCAAACTAAAATCACTAGCACATATCACCAGCATCATATTATGTGCTGTTTAAGCTATTGACCATTGTCAAGATCCGCACACGAATTCCATAATAATAGCGTTAAACAAAACTGATAATTGATTTTTCAATTAAATAAAAACTCATACGGTTTCAATGTATATACTTTTAATTCTATTACTTGCCGCCGTACTGTACCTACCGTATACGTATTATAATAATTAATATAGACTAAACCGAAAGTACTTGAAATGAGTTCAACTAGAGATTAATCATAATTATTATGAAGGGCCGGCTTAACCGTTGACTACTTCACTGTGGAGAGGACGCGTTACCTTTTGTGACTCGCTCTGCGGCTCTAAAATAATTATTTAAATTTTTTTTTTTTGTTTTTAAAGGTGTCGTTTTCAACGTGATGTACAAATTGAACAGAGATTTGGTGAGGAGCACCAACATTTTTCTTTAAAACAATACTTAACTATATAAACATAATATTAAAAAAAGGAAATGTATTATTATAAATTCAATTTTAAAATAGGTAAATCCTAGCTGTTTCAATAACCGCTTTCAGTAACCGTCGGCGTTGCGTTCCTGGTAGCAACTCACAAGACGTGTATTAGAGGTACCTTCATTATAAAGGGCAAACACCTTGGCCAAATTTTGGCGTGGTTTGCCGGGAAAGCCCTCTGTTCATGCTATTACTCACAAATTGCTTAAGGACCACGGGATAAAGACGATATTTTGCCAATTCAATCTATACGAAACGTGATGTAATTTCTCTAATACCTGCGCCTGCTTATAACGTGTTACGTGATACAAGGATGCAAGGATAAACCCCATAGAAAACTGCTATAAATATACTTAATAAAAAAATAAAAAATAACAATATTCCAAAATTGTATTGAAAATGTATGTTTACAGTCCAAAAAGACTCGATTGTTGTAAAATTTTTAAATATTACACCAATGAGCATAAAAGCATCAACAACATAATTTTAGTGGTACTCAAAATATATTAGCATAACCCTTTGAGTCGAGAAGTCTATGAGTGGTATTATATAGAAACCACCATTTTAATATATATATATTTTTTTTAATGTTAATTACGGTATTTAATTAAAAACACCGTCAAAACAATTTAAAAAAAAATAATGTGTGACAAAAGGTTAAAGATGTACTATTTAAATTATTGCATTTTCTCAAAAAATACATAAATCTAATTTTTTATTAGATCATGCAGAGTAACCTTACTATCATCGACAATATAATTACAACATTTTTTTATTAGTTCATCGATATATTATTATGAATTAATTATTTTTTGTTTGTAAGAGAGAGTTAATTAATTCTCATATAATAAAAAATTATGCGTTTTTTCTAGGAATACTCCTAGACGAAATTCACTATGCCAATAGTACAATTTTTAAGTTGACACTTGTGTACACTTCTACAATGTACATCATTAAAATCACAGAATTATGTATTAAACAAATTGTCAAAAAAATTTAATTTTTAAAGTTATAAATGTGTTAAAGCGTTCATGGAAACTGGATTGAAATATTACGTGTATAACTTTGAGATGTATCCATGGATACATTTGAAAATTATCTACATAATTAAAAAGTTATATAAATTACATTAATAAATTTCAGAAAACATCTCACTTACATAATATACTATTGTGAAACCAAGATACATAGTATACACTTTATACATAAAAACAAAAAAAAAAGTTACTTTAAACTACGAATATGTCTTTTCTTTAGTTATAAATTATTTGGATGTACTTAAGTATATCATTTTAAAAAGGCCAAAGGGAGTGCTTAAACTTTCTATAGCTCTTTAATAATAACAAACACTGTATATTGTGTACTCTGTAAAAAATGTAAAGACTCGTAAACCTCATAATCGTTGTTAACAAAGATAAAATAACAAACTAGCGGAGAAGAGTCAAGATAAATGGCCATTTATTCTCTTGTTAAAAAAACACCATCTTTGTATTAACAATAAGTAATAGATTCATTTTATCTTATTGAAAATAGCTAATGTTATATCATAAAAAAGAAGATTCAAGTCATCAAGTTAGAATAAAAATATCGCTCTCAAGTATTTATGTTAAAGCAAACTGATACGGTTCGATGGTGCAATAATGTTTAGTAATTAGTTGGGATGCAGAGTGTTAATTTGGGTGTAAACAGTAGTGTAAATTATCAAATTTTACTTTCCAAGGCTTTGCCTAATTGACAATAAAGAATTATAACCTTTAATCATCCTCACATTCATGGAATATGTCCAAAAACTGAGGGACTTGGAAACAATACTCGCCACAAAGTTAGAAAATTGATTGCAAACTTATTTAGGTATAAAAAAATAATAGTGTACGAGGATGTGCATGACCTACTATTATTGGCTGAAAACCTAATGACAATTAATATCAGGACTAACATAATATGAATAATAAAAAGCAATCTATATCAATCTCGACCGTAATCTTAAAATTGTAAATTATTTTTTTATTTTTTTTTTATTTTCTTTCTTATAACTAATATCAGACGTTAATAATTTATAAGCTGTTCATTAAAATATGTATTTTAAAATGGCAAACTATGCAAATATATATTTTTATTAAAAATGTAAAATAAGTAGTTTTAAACAGCCTACTTGGCATGATATAAATAAAATTAGAAATACTTTTTTGATATGCAAATAGCAAAGGTAAACATATTTAGGTAAACACGATTAAAGATAATAATAAAATGGAACATTTTGGATATTATTATAATAAACAAAATCAATATTATTAATACAATTTGTCGATATTTGTATGTATATTTGTCTAATATTGTTAACTGTAAGCATCATTTTGTAATGATCAGTACGCTGCGTCGCAAAGACAATCGAGTCTTTCTTACCAACATACCTATAATTAAGTGCGGTTATTTCTCTCCGTGGCTAATCTTACAACATATTATATTTTATTGGTTACCAACGTACGGACATGCAAACTCACGGTCGGTGTAAATGTTTTTTTTTCTTCCAATTAAAATACAACGAAGTGGTGCGCGAAGTTAATAAAGATTTCCGTCGGCTTGTAGATAATGAAATTACATTAGAAGCAAACGTCGTACACGGTGTTTACATTAATTGTACCTATATATATATAGGAGCGCAGAAACCGTAGGTTGTAACCGCCCGAGGTGGGGGCACGGACGCGGAAAAAGAACAAGTTTTATATTATATTATTCTCTTTCATCCATTAATAAGTATTACCGATGGTCTTGACTCCCGGGTCCCGAGCCCCCCCTCCCCATATGGTCTTCACCCTAAGCGCTTCCAAAATAGACAGAATGGATAGAAGTTATTCGCGGACGTGCGGGTTAGCGAGGGGTGGGACACGACTTGTTTACACCCTTTGCCTGTACTTACACACACACACACACACTATAACACCCCCGGCGCAGAGACGATAATTCAATTTCGGTTCAAAACGAACAAATTTAATTTGGCTTGTTTTCCGAACAATTCGGGCAGTAAACTAGTGTTTGTGTGCCCCCCGAGGGCCGAAATAGCTTCGCTTAACCTTTAAAAACCGAACGATACCCGGCCACGTCTGATTAATGTTATCTTTTTGGACTTCTGATTGCCAAACTGTGGTGTTGTTGGGCTGGCCGCATGAGTTTATGATTCCCAGCTCGTGTACCGCGTGTCAAGAAATTTATATGACGGTGCCCTTCGACAGCGTTATCACATTAAAGTAAAACTTGCATGTCATTATAATATTTTTTTTTTTTTGGTCCCTCCTGTCCCGAATAACACAGCTGTGGTGTAAAAACGTGTAACAACGCAAAACTCTTACGAATGTAATAAAATAAATAATAATGATGATGACCAGACGGTGCATAAAATATACAAGTGTATGGCAAATCTTTAGCCTTTAAGCCGGTTTTGTCCGCGTTGTCGACGATGACTCAAAACACGGTGCATTAAATTATTTTCGACGCTTTGGGGTTTGTTTGGCGAGAGAGAGAGAGGAAGAGAGAAAAGAAAAAAGGTTCGCGATTTCGAAAAAGATTAAAAAAACAAAAAAAAGGAAGTAAAGTAAAATAAATAAAAAACGGTTATATACCTCTTGGGATTTAAGAGGCTCGTCCAAAAGAGAATATATACTTTGGGAACTTTAAGGCTGTTTATTAAAGGTAAATGAACAGCCGTTTATTTTATGGTTTCTGGGTGACATTAGCATAATGATTCCCGCGATAGTGCGAAACAAAAATAAAATATATATAAAACTAAAAAAAAAACAGGCAACGGAGAAAGTAACAAAAAAGTGTTTAAATCCCAAGAATATTCGAAGAAATTCTTAAGGGAAAAAAACAGTACTTCGAGTATACGCTGGGGAGTACTTCCAGACAATGAGGATAATTCTTAGATTAAACAAATTTATAATTTATTTTGACAGATACAAAGTTTTTTCATTAGACACCCAGTAGACGTATATGCGAGTAGTAAGAGTCACTAAAATATTTACAAATGATCAAACTTCATTAGTATTGATTCTGTGTTTTAACCATAGTTAGTCTGCAAAGGAATATCTAGCCGGTATCATAACAACAGTTTAAATGATATTTATGTATTTAGTACTTACTGGCTTACTCCTTTCCGCGTGCTTTTACATTAAAAGTTTCTGTATTTGATTATATTAGTCAAATTACTTCATACAGTTGTTATTAAAATAATTGCCACAATTTTCGTGGTCCTAGGCAATTTCTAATGGGGAGACCTTAAGAAGATGTAGTAGTAGGACTTAAGGCTAAAGGGTAATGAAGAACCCTCTGCTTTGCCAAGTTTTATTGACATGGTCGAAATTTATTGAAACCGCTTTTTACTTAAGGGGAACGGAAAGCGCTACATTTTATACAAATATAGACTAAAACAAGAAGTCATTTTCTGAAGTGTCTACCAAACCGATTTCATATTTTATTTTTACAAAGTTTAACATCTTCTCTATAAGGTCTAAACCCCGATTTTCTATTTCCGTTATTAAAATATTATTTTATAAACGATTATATTTTTACTTTTTTATGATTTATTCTAATATATCTAACAAGTTTTTTAAAAGCTAAATACAAAATCAGCCTTTCAGCCCTGGTAAAGAAAATACTAAATAGTAAGCTTCAAATAAAAAAAAAATTAAAATTAAAATCCGTGTAATTGATACGCCGGAAAATGACTGCAACGAAAGTAATTTTTTATCAAACTTTCGTCATAACTCGGAGAAAAATAACTTTTATAACTAGAAAAAAGATTTTGTCAAATATTGCCTATCATTTGCCCCTTAATAAGTAGCGCTTTCCGTTCGCCTTAAGAGGGCTTTGCACCGCCCATTTTTAAGGAGTAAAGTATAGGCAATTTTTTACAAAATCTTAATTTAAAGATTAAACTGTGATGTGTAATTATTAGTTCAATAACTAGGACTGTATTTTGGTAGTTAAGTTATTTTCTGGACTATCACAGCATCCTTGAAAGCGATTTAAAAATGTTTTTTCATCTCTACATGTTTAAGCAGATTGAAAATAACTCTCTTAATTTTGCTTTTAAGGTAAAAGTACCCATTATAAAATTAAAAGAGAGTAATATTCCGGAGGACAAGACAGTGCGTTTTTTTCATTATTCCAAGTATAACGCTCAATACATAGTTTAGAAATAACGACTATTTTAACATTTTTAAAAGACTGTAACTTTACAAAAAATGATTTTTTTTTTAAACGCACCGTCTTGCCCTTTGGAATATTATTCTCTTATTATAATGGGTGCTTTTACTCTAAAACCAAAATCAAGCGAGTGTTGTTTAGTTGGCATAAACATGTTTTTACCACTGAAAAATCACCGGCGCGACGCCCTCTTAAATATATTTCCTACATAAACTCCTTAAAAAGCGAGTAGCGACGGCTTGTAGAAGCAATAATAATTTCCCCAGAACGGTTCCAAAAATATATTACTTGTAATAGCCCTTCGTAAACGAAATATATAAAATATGGAAAATCCGGCAGTTGTTTGGTAAATTTAAAATTTGTCATTTACCTACAAAGTACAACTATTATTAATATTTTGACATCAACCGCAGCAGCAGCAGCTGTTTTCTCCGTCATTTTCACCGGCGGTCCGTTATTTCTCTTCCATGACATTTTACAAAACTAAAAAAACCCCACAAAATCGTACTCGCTCTTTACGAAAAATTGCGTTTCACGTTTTCGAAACGGTCGTGTAATTTTTCAAAAACGGTGAAAATCAAATTTGTTTAAATATTTAATACATTGAAAATTGAGTTTAAAAACAATGCTCTCTCCCCCCCCCCATCCCTCCAACGAGTGTTATCACGTGACCCGGTGACGCCTGTCTTGTTACATCTACAGTAATTATATTTTCTTTTCTGTTCTTTTTCGTCTCCGTTGCGGTCTTGTGAACTCACGTTAGGCGTAACTCTAAACTGATATTCATCGTTTGATCCAAGTAAGTCGGTAACATAATTTGTACAGTACTTTTTTCTTAAAGTCGGCGGTCTGGTTAGGTCAACTATGACACATCTTTCAGTAGAGGATATGGTGTTATTTGACATTGCCCCGCACTACTAGACCATGCTGCTGTACACGTCTAGGTAATAAAAAAAAAAAAACTGTTTCCTTGATTTTAGCAAGCATACACACAAGTAAAACCAAAATGGCACCACCTTCGTTCAGTGATCTCGGTAAAGCGGCCCGTGACGTGTTCAACAACGGCTATGTGTTCGACATACTCAAATTGGACCTTAAGACCAATCAGAACGTTGAGATCAAAGTTGGGGGCACTCAACACTTGACTTCCGGTGTCGTCAACGCCAGTTTGGAAACAAAGTACACGATAAACAAGAATAAATATCGTAAGTATATTAGCCGTGATATTATAATTATTTTACTATTGAATGAATTTATTCCATAACATATCTAGCTATATAAATCAACAATTAAACCATTTTTCTAATGTAATTTGTAAATTGTTTAAAAATTATTATTAACATATTGTGATGTTTGTTTAGTGTTCACGTTGGTTGAAAAGTGGAACACCAATGATGTAATTGCAACCGAAGCTTCGATTAGTGGTCTGTTACCCGGATTAAAAATTGTATCTGATGCCTCGTTTGACCGTAAGAAGCAGTAAGTCCAGGCCTTTCCGTTGTACCCAATTTTAAGTTAATGTTTCTTCAATTATTTTAATTTTTATCGTCTAAGGTCCAAGTCTTTAAGACTCAAGTCTGAATACAAAAATGATTACGTAGCCCTCAATGTAGACACAGAATTTCGATCATTGAAACCTTTGATTAACGCGTCTGCTGTTGCTGCTTACAATGGTATGCCTCAATATTTCAATAAATTTGCTTAGAAATAGATTAAATAATACTGTGTATGATTATAGGTTGGCTGGCTGGTTACAATGTTAAATACAGTACTACCGACAAGGTTTTGCAAACCAATAACCTTGCCCTTAGTTACGTAGCTAAGCAATTTGCATTCACCACCACTGTGTAAGTGTAACTTGTTCATTTTTAGTTCATTACGGTTTTTGACGTTATCTTTTTTTTTTTGTAAAGTAACGATAACAAATTATTTGGCGGTACTGTATACCAAAAGTTGTCCGATCAATTGGACTTGGGTTTGCAAGTGTCTTGGTCTTCGGAGAACAACGACTCGTCCCTTGCCATTGGTTCACAATACCAACTGAATAAGGATGTAAAATTGCGGGCTAAAATAAACAACAAAAGTCAGCTGTGCCTGGGATCGGGCATTAAAATCAAGGACGGTATGCAAGAAATCATAATTATTTAAACGTGTAGTAATTACTTTGTATAGACCAATAATTGTTTATAACGTTTTATTTTCAGGCGTCACATTAACACTAGCTAGTCTGTTTGAATGTCGTCAGTTCAATCAAGGTGGTCATAAATTTGGTATTGGTTTAGAACTCGCATTATAAGTTGCGTGAGAGCTGGAAATCACTACCGCGTAGACAAAAATTTGTTGTCAGTAAATATAGGATTTAAAAATAACCATAACAACATTATTTTGTATTTAAAAAATATCAGTGTATTTATTTGTGTATGAATCATTAATATTCTGATTAGAGAACAAGGACATGTTATTAAATTATTTAAATTGTGTTTTTTTTTAAAATGCCATTTGATCGTCAAGGTGTTTATTCATCCAATCGCGTAGTGCTGGATCCGCAGACATAAGTTCTATTATGTGGTTAACGTGATAACACAATGCTTCAATTTTCTTATCCCATATTGGAAGTAGTTTTTGTGCTGTACAAAGAAACAAATACAATTTAAAAAAAATAAAGACCCATAAATAACTATAACGTCAATGAATGAAAGGCAAATTGCATAAAAAAAAAAATTATTGATGAACAATAAATATAAGTCCATGCAAATTGCATTTTAATATTTCCATTTTACAACGAGATGTGATTATTTATAATACAACAAAAAATGATGCAATGTTTTTCAAATTACTGAAAAACAAGTTATTTAAACAAGGCTACTATACATAAAGATAATCAAAAATATATGACCCTAGATCTTATTAAAAAAAAAAAAAACTTTAAACTTAAAATCTTGGCAAAATTAATATTTTGTAATGCAGTCGCCCCAAATTATTACTACATTTTCGTTTGATAAAAAGATAAATTACATTTTATGCAACTTGTCTTCAATTGGATGCATAATAAATATTATGTCTACTACTGGTGGCGTATTATTAAAATAAAATTACTTTTAAAATGAACAAAACTTTGAATCTGATCTATGGATCCTTCCATACGACCTTCGGAAATCATTTGACCCGCAATTTTTTCAGCTTTAATAGGTTCAATACTCAGTAGCCTACCGAGTTCTACGACTTTCATATTTTTGTACAATTTACTGGCAGATAATAAGTTGTGTTCGATAATAGCTCTCTCCAAAATAGTAGAACCTACATAAATCATCATAATTAATTTATATATATATTTCTTAGCACAAGTAAAACCATTACCATCTATAGTCTTTGCTTTTTGGTGTGGCTGCAGCATTGCATCGAGTTGAATGATTTCAGAATGCCTGATAATGCGGTCTAAATACATTTTCTCGAGAACCGAGAATTCCGGTAAACTTTGGCATCGTTCATCTTTAAATAAAGTTGATAACATTCGACTACGCTGTTGTCCTGAGAAAAAAAAAATCGAGTAAAATTGCTGACAACAGTTAATAACGACTGACTATTTATGAACTCACCGGCAGACGCTAATACTGTACAGATCAGAGCATTTTTTAACGCTGTCATTCGTTCTTCTTCTGAAATTATTGTTTTATAAGACAGCTCATTATACCTTTGTGCGGCTTCGATAAATTTTCTTCTATAGTCTAATACTCTTGCATAACATACTTTGTAACATATTTGAAGTTTTTCATTTTTAGATTCTGTCTGCTCAGCACACATATCCAAGGAATTAGTATTAAAAATACAATAATACGCTTCGATTTAAAAAAAAAAAATAATGATTTACTTGTAATAATGATGCTCGATTAATGTACGACTCGGCCAACAAAGGATCATCGTCTTCCAAGTATAAACGAGCTATTTTCATATAGGTTTCCAATTTATAATCAACAGTGTACTTCCTAATTACAATTACAAAAAATAAATCAATATTGTCATATTACTTAAAATAACTGATAAAAAAACGTTTTTTAGTAACTGTTCTAATAACAAAATTTGATTTATATAAGAGTAATAATATGTTCTCTTTAGAACAAAAGGTTTGCAAATTTTGGGGCCTGTTAAAATGTCTGGATGAGCTCAATACTAAGTCATGTTTATGATTCACACATACTTTTGGCCAGTTTCTAATGGTATACCAACGAGTACTGTAGCTGCTTCTTTCCAGTTATTTTCTCTTTCGTAAATTGATGCTAAATGTTGTCGAACATTAGCCACTTGTTCTTCAAAGGAAATCACCCGAGGCTGAATCTAAAAATTATAGAACACAAATTAAGCTTTTATTACAAATTTTAAACATTAAAATATACTTTTTCTAAGGTAAAATGAGCTAATTGTTTAGATTGTCCGTCTGGCAAATCCGGTAACAGTTGTGTGCTGACATCCGATAATATTTGACGGGATATTACCAAACTGACATTTTCGTTAACAACTGTAAATAAAAGTACATTTGATAATTTTCGGCACTGTCATACAAAACTAGTGTAACACTTACTGGCTTCTACAAATACTTTTAAAGCTTCAATAATATTGTCACCTGTATTTGACAAAACATTGTTCAATAAACTTCTATACCTATGAAACGCAACAACGATTACACATAAACTATAACAATGGTGATTGAGTGATGCACACTTACTTATCTACTTGGTCTTTATGAGTAGCTGGGGCATTGGACAAATGACTAAGATGTTGCCGAATTTGAGCAATTGTAAGAGACATATTTAAAACCTACATACAAAACTAATACAAACCCTTTACCCAAACAAAATTAAATGACCTAGTGTTTAGTATTTGTGATTTTATGCTATAAGGCTACCTTAACATTAGAATATATCTATAATATAATAAAAATGATAGTTAACAAATATTTCTTTTAACAGAAAACAAATCTGAACGGTGTAACACTTTTCTATTCTAAAATATGAAACTCGAATTTTTGGCAAAATTTGTTATCAAAAATTACGAAAATGATAACAGCAACAAATATAAATCTAACCTTATAATTCTCAATAAAAATAATTTCCTACACTGGAGAATACATCCTCCTTGGTTTTGTTTTTTCCCACCATACAGGCCTAAGATATTAATACACCCATGTCCAAACTCCTAAAGGGAAAAATTATCTGCAGTTTTAAGCAGAATAATATTATATTATAATTATTATGTAGATGTTCTTTTCTAAGGGATATGTCTATATTTAAAAATTAGTAGGACAGGAGGGGGGGGAGAACAATATAATCTGCGCTATTGGTTTAAACTCTGCCCGAAGTAGGTCGTACTAAGTTGAGTTAACCAAAGTTGAGATTTGGCCAGTCAACTTGTAGTAAAATCTTATCGTTCCCATGATGATTTCGTCAACTTATTTTTATTAATTATTATACTTATCAAGGACTATTAATTATGTTATGATTACATTTTTCCAACGTAATCTTTTGAATTCTCAACACGGAAATTCAAAAACATTGTAGTTTATTTATTGGCTGTAATATTATGTTGACTATTTTATTCGAAATATTGATTAAACTACAAAATTGCGTTAATGTTTCAAACATTTTGAGTATTTCTTAATGTGCATTAATTACATCTAACCGCGGGTAAGTAGGTGTATTATTGTAATTTGTTATACTGAAAACATACAAAACAAATGTTATCAGTTTCAGTTATCAGCACGTAAATAGTTGTATTTTGTAAACAAATAAAATAATAATTTTAATATTTTTGATGATGTAAAGTTGCCATTGGTCTTACCATTTTAAGCTATTACAATTTACAAATTAACAAAACTAATTTCTAGTAATTCGTTTAATAATATATTATTTAATTGTTATTTGTAAACTTTTCAGTATTACTCATATAACTGTCCTCCGAAAAAACTTGTTAACATGTAAATTTAAGAAACAGTTTTTGTTATTTGTTAAAATGGTATAATAAAAAATAAACAACTTATTTAAACGTATTATGAATTTATACTGGTGTTCTATTTCAGTTGGTAAACATTTGCGATCCTGTTTTCGAAACAAACATTCAGTTGGATGGTAGCTGTATATCGCATGAAGGTTATTCTGTGGATAATCTCATTTCACCTGATAACCAATTGCGTAAGAAAGGATTTTTATGCGAAACGTTTATTCGGCCACCAATTAGTTTAACAGTGAGTTTTCCATTAGCTTTCGATATCAAGTCTGTGGTAATAGGCACTAGAGTAGGTGGTCAAAAGTCTACAGGATTTCAAATATCGTCTGGTCGTAATGATAGTATACAAAAAATCTGTTCAACTGTAACAGAGAAAGAAACACTAGTATTCCACGATAACAATTCAGACCTCAAATCGTATGGAAATAATTGTGATCTTTGTTGTTTCAATATTTCAGCTAGTAGACACATTAGGTCTGCACTAAAGTTATGTTTACGGATATTTAGGACAGCTAATTCAATACCAGCAATCGGCAAGTTAGAAATATGGGGCACTATTTCATTGGCGGTGCCTGAAGAACAGCGACAAGTATTAGAGAATCAGTGGAAAGAGAGTAAAAACCAATCTACGGGTACCGGTATTATCCATGTTACACCGATTGCAGCTATTGATCCTACGATATCGAAAAATATAAGTGATAGCTTTACTATACCTGAAGATTTTTTCGATTCCATCACATGCGAAGTAATGATTTGTCCAATGGTGTTGCCATGTGGCAAGTATGTCGATCAATCAACTATAGAAAAATGTATACAACACGACAAAATGTTTGGACGTACTCCTAGCGATCCGTTTACTGGAATACCATTTAGCGCAATATTAAAACCAACACCTGTGCCTGAATTAAAAGGACGAATGGATGCTTTTATGATGAAATACTCAGATAATGAAAACGTAAAACACTTACCGCGAGTTTTGGGTAAACATAGTATCAGCTTTTATAGCGAGAGAAATGTTAAACTTCCCAAATTACAATGCAGTGCGTGTGATGAAGACAAAAATCTTTATAATTTACCCTGTCAGCATGTTCAATGTAGAAATTGTCTAAAGGACTTGACATGTAATGTTTGTCACAAAAGCTGTGATCGAAGTCAAATAAAAAAATATCATCATCGTCACTCTTGATTTTTTTTCATTGTTTTATGTCAAATCTTTTGATAATAAATACAAGGGTGGTCGTGTTTGTAAATGAATCGTTGTATTGTAAATAGTATATTTGACTTTTTTTATATTTAAATTCCAATTAATATTTTACTTGTACCTATTAATATTGTGAAAAAATGTTGTTGTACATACAACGCAATAAGTTAACTGTTAAGTATTAAGTTTTAACTGTGATATAAAATAAATAATTTTTAGCTTCTATGCGATGCTGAAAAGATTCATTTTACATTGATTTTTTTATTTTCTTCTGTTTTTGTGTTTGGACTTACAATATCTCCTAAACTACTGACCGATTTTTTCATAACATAGCAAGTTAATAGATCAGAAACCATACTTAAATAGTACATAATTTGGTCAATGTACACTTGAATGTTGCTTTATAACTTTCTTAAAAACATTCAAATTACTTCCAAACTTCCGTGAGATATTCTTTAAATATAGAATTACCAAATTACAGTGAAAACACAAGTAAATATCAATAACCATTTTCCCATAAGGGATAGAACTAGTGATGGAAAATATTTGAAATTCTGATTCAATATTCTAGATTAAAATACCAATAAGTATTTGTATACTATTCAAAAAATAGTACAAATAATTTACTACTTTAATCACTCAACTATTATAATTTTAACTATTTACTTTTTTTTTTAAATGAATTTTTTATGTTTGATTACTTCATCAAATCCAAATTATAACCCTTTGTTTTATTTTTATTATTTAGATAACTTTTAGAAATGATTATTTGAAAGTTATAATTATCCCTGAAAATCTGCAATCTCCCCAATATACTCCACAGTCTACTGTGCTGGATTTATTTTTGTATTATCCTATAGACAACTATGAATACAAATCAGGTTTTATGAAAAAATAAATAATAAACCTATATTGTTCTCAAGGTTCTCTAGACTACTTGTTTATTATAACAATTTTTGTAAAAATTAAAGTTTTTCGCCTTACTTATTACCATAAATGAAATTTCATAATTTACGATGCCATCTTTAAAAAAAAACATGACTTCTTAGACAATCTTATAAAAGTTGAATAACCGGATACAGACAAAAATCCGATTGGAATTCACAATACTTCTCGGCTGTATTAAGATATTATCCTTACCCTATTTGTTCTATAACAAATTTTGTAGTTAAAATAATACTTAGATTTTTGAGTACAGAATGCACAACTATTTTGGTACCCGATTGTCCAAATCACTGCTAGTTAAAATTCCGACAAATACAATAAAAGTATTATGATAAAATAGTTATTTAGTACCTAAATTATTTATCTTCTCAATCAACGATTGAAATAAAAAACATGAAAATAAAATGCCCAAATATATTTTGTTCTACATGCTTTTTATTTGTGTCTTTAAAAACATTTTTTTTATTTATAAAATAAATGTATGATAATCTGTATAACCTTACATGCAACATCGATAAATTTGATTAAAATAGAAACTTCTACATATATTTTTATAAAAAAATATTTCTATAAAATAAAAATACAAATTAAATGTGTGCAAAATATCAAGCATATCATTTTTTTTTTCTAATTTATTATAATAAAATAAATTTGAAATAAATTACATTTTTATTCAAAAAATAACATAAAATCTACATTTTATAAAAGATAATTTAGTTATGACAATCATCTTATGGCACATCAGCCTGAAATACATTAAAATTCGGTTGTGTTTAACAAAACATTTTGGTAGACAATGCTCAACTACAAACAAAATTACTATTAAAACTAAAAATAATTTTTTTTTTTTTTTATTATAAATTTATATATATTAACTACAAAATTCTAAAATAACAAGAAAAAAACAAACAAGACTATTTTGAAGTTGAGATTCGTAAACAACAAATATATGTATTTAAAGCCTTATCAAGATTCGTCTAATTTATTAGGCTCTTAAGTACTTATAAAACTTTTTAATTTTTTAATTTAAATGTTATAAATACCTATAAACGTAAATACCTATACACGCGCATATCATATACATATATATATATATATTTATAGATAGAAATAAATGTATTCATAACACTAATAAAATAATTTATTGTAATTTTTTTTCTATAATTATCAATTATAATTTTATAACAAAAAAAGATATATATATATATATATATATTTAATATAATAAAAACGTAGAGCAAACTGGCATGGGTCGCTTTTGGCACCTGGCATAGTATAATTAATTTTTTTTTATTGCTTTATATTTTAATACTGAACTCTCTACCAATTATATCAAATTTTTTCTAACTAAAAAAAAAACATTTATTGCACGCTACATAAAATAGGTCTTACAAATATTAACAATATTAAAAATATATATATATATAAATGTTTGTATTTTTTATGTTGTAATCCTATCCTAACAAGAGAAATTTGATAAGTAGAGTGGTAAAAAAAGTTTGTTCAATATAACATTTTTTTAAATTGTCGTATACTTTATGTTATTAAATCATAACGCAGTTTTGAAAATAAACAAACAAAATACTAAGACTAGTGACAACATGACGTAAAATTTACCTATGTCTCCTTAGAATGCAGAAATGAATATAATAATAATAATAAAATAATAATTTTTAAAAATTCTCTTTTTTTTTTAAGGCATATGACTCAACAAAAATATTTCCATTTAGTCTTTAAATAAGTATTACGAAACAACATTGAATACTTTAATAATAATATAAATAATAAAAACAAATATTATTTTACGAAAATGATTAGACAGACAGAATAAAAATGGTTAGACAAATAATTCCAAGTGCAAAATTGCGTATTTTTAATTGAAGTGTGTTTATGTGTGCAGAATGATATTTGTTTAGTTGTTAATTATAGTTTCGTCCAGCTTTCGTCGCACTTCGGCTGCAGGCTGCATTGTGTGGTGTTAAAATAAAGGTCCATTATGTTAGATGTCCGCAAGCCTTTTTGAGGTTAAATAAAAAAATGTAAAAAAAAACATGTTAGTAATGAAATATTTAAAAAAAAAAAAAAAAATAGCAGCTAAAGTATTATGTTCTATTATTGTATTAGTGTAAGTACGCTGGTGTCAAACATATAAGTGTTCGGCCGAGTTTATTTGGACATTTTATTAGTGTATATTTACTACCATATGTGTAAAAAGCGTTAAATGAGTAAGAAAAAAAAACTTTCAATTTTAGCAATAACTGTTGTTTTTTCGTTTCAAAATTTTATTATTTGTATGCAATTATTAAACGGTGCATAAAACACATTATTGTACATCAGTCACACAACAACTGCCTTCACCAATAAAAAACAAATATATATATATTAAGTAATACATCCTTGCTATGGCTGTTAAATACAATATTAGAACACAATACGTGAAAAGTATACTTATGTTATATCTACAAATACTAAACAATTATAAGTAGCACCTAAACCTGCATGTTTTTATTCCTATACACATGAATACGATAATACTTTAAGTAAATACTAATAATAATAATATATGCGATTCGCATGCACGTATGAATTATGTAGTGTAAATAATATAAATATAATACACAATTTCAAACAAAAATATCACAACCATGAAAAAACATAAAAAAAAAACTTATCGGAAAAGTGAGTAGAAATTTTTCTATTAAAAAAATGAAATAATTGAAAGTTTTGAACGCGAGGTCATAAAAATGTCATGAAATTCAATGGTTTAGTGCTCGTACCTAAACAATCCCCATTTTTCAACTAACTTGTATCCTAAATTAAAAAACGAATAGCAACTGACCTTACAAATTCAAAGAACTTTTTTTTTTAATTTCGGGATATTTTTTAATTGACAATCGAAGTGCCAACCCTCTGATACGGATGATCCCTGATCTGAGTCAAATGCCTTCTTTGTTTTGCGACCTGAGCCGCCGCCGCGACCGCGGCTGCTGCACCTGCTATAAACATATTATTTCTATTTATTTTATTGAATAATACAAACAGTTTTAATAATGCACAACAATAAAAAAAAAACATTGTAGCAGCGCCAGGTTCCATTTTAAAACAATAGTCGACCCCCTAAACTTATACAAAACAAAATAATAAACATTATAATTATATATAATAATAACTATATATATATAAATCTTTAACAAATTCTAAACATAGATGTGTACTAAACAATCACAAAAAAAAAATTATACATAACATTAATCAAATAATCAGCCTGATATGATTTTTTTTTACTACTATTATATAATAATATATAAATAGGTATATATTTATATTATAGTATAAAAAACAAAATATACTTAACATAGTTAAATCTTAAAAAGTGGTTTGTCATGGTATTTCATTCTTATAAAAATAAGGAACTTTAGGTGTAAGGAGCTTAAGTCCTTCTCGATGAGTAAAACGACCTGTTTGGTGGTTCTTTGTGGTCCCTCAAGTATTTTGTTAATTTGGGTCCTAATGTGTTTAATATGTGTTTATGGTAGTTAAAACATTATTATTCATGTTAGAGTCACACTTTGATTTTAATTATCTATTATGACGAAAGGATTGATTTATTCGGTTAGTTGAAAATATTGACTAATAAATACATAAGAGTTTATAAAAATTATTTGTATCATGTATAATAATGTTTACTCGTATTCAATAACAAACTAAGTTAAGACAATTGCATTTTATTTTATCAAATTTGTTTAACCAGTTAGATGCTTTCCATTAGGAAGTACTTGAGGAGTGTTATTAAGGAAAAAAATGTTCAATTATCGTATTAAAATTTATTAGTACACACCTAGTTTTAAAAAAAAAAATTTAGTCGAGTTAGACTAATCGTTTAAACTGCCTAATCGCAAAAAAGAACAGAGGTAAAGAAGGGGTGTAATTATAATAATAAAGATAAAAATATAATCTAGGAATTAATTCTAAAAAAAAAAATTAAAGCTTCATATAGTAAAATAGATTCAATAGCGCGTGAGAAATAAGAAAATAAAAAAAACAAAACAAAAAAATAAATAATTATAATAAATAATAAGGAATATCAAAATAAAATTAATCCCTAAAATTATACATAAATAAGATAGCACCTCGCGAACATAAAAAAAAAGGGTTGGAAGGCCAAATATTAAGGATGGTACACACTAACGTTGATTTGGCCAGTGGCGGTAGGTGAGCCCTTGCAGTTCTGGAACCATTAGCATGTATCTGGTCGAACATTCTTTTAATATAATAATAAAAAATAAATTAAAATTTAAAAAATACCTCATAAACATAATAAGCTTTTGAAAGTAAAAATTAAAATACTGATTAGGTTTGAAGGTATTATTGTTTTGTGGTTATTATTTCTTTTCTGTCTTCATAGAAAAAAAAAAAAATTATTTATTTATTTATTGGTACACTGAACGAGGATACTGTTAATAGAGTAATTTTTTTTTTAATATTTTTATTCCAAAGAATAATAGTCTTGTCTCCCAAGTGCATTCAACCATTATTTTTCTTATTTAAATTATTTTTTTTTTTTTTTGTTAACAAACAAACAACAACGCACCCGAGTGATCGGTAGGAGTATATTCTGTGATCAGCGGTGATCCGGCTAATGCATAGTTTGCGTAATCAGCATATGGCGTGTATATAAGACCAGCGGCAGCGGCTGCTGCTGCAGCATGGTGATGATGCTCAGCAGGAGATAGAAGCTGAGGGGCACCGGGGTTACCGGCAGAGGTCGTGATGGCAGTTGGTATACGGGGAGAGAGTATAAGTGGAGCGGCCATCGGAGTGGCTGCCTGTGGCCGTAACGTGGTAGCCAATCCACCCATTCCATGGGGTGATAACAATCGCTGTGTTTCTGCTGCTGCTGCTACAGCCATTCGGCGCCATTCTTCATCACAGGCTGAAAAAAATAGCATTTAAATTATAATCCGATTAAAAATGTACTGTAACTTAAATATTATGTTATATTTAGAAAGGTGAGTCGTTGCCACAACAATTATTATTTTATTATTAAAGTCGGTTAAACAGTATAAAATTTACCAGCAGCGGCTAAAGCTTTAGCATTTGAATCTCTGTAAGTTCCATTGATGATGGCAAGTTCCATGAGTTGTCGCTTTTTCAGTTCATCTTCACCGTCAGCCTGTGAACAAACCATACATGAAATATTAGTAACAAATATCTCTACATGTAAATTCAAAATACTATATTGTGAATAACAAAACATGTATCATTAACTTAACATTTTAATGTACACGAAAATCACACACAAACTATAAAATATGAAAATTGAATGGCTAACAACAGTTAAAATATTGACTCACCGGAACCAGAAGCCTTTTGACCTCGTCAATTGCTCTTTTCAACTTGAGTTTGGCGCGGTTTTCCGTATCCTCGACCGATATCAAAACATGCAGTTCTTCGCTAAGATGTTCCCAATTAGGTTTACCTCTATTTTGTTCCTCCTTAAGATCACAACAAAAAAAAAAGTTCTCGATTAGTTTTAGGGCAGTATCGGTCTAAGATCTGATGTACCTTTGGGCTTCCAAAAGTACAATGTACAAATTGCCTTTCAAGTCGGAAGGCAGTTTGTTCGAACAGACGCTTTTAAAAATGACACTCAATTTATTATGTATATTTTCGCAAAGAGCCTTGACCGCAGAATATACAAATTAATTGGGTCGGTGGTGTCTTCCGGAGACACCATTAGATTTTGTTATTTTTTTCTTCTTCTAAATTTACTACTTACGGTTCTGTTGTAATACAATTTCCACGTGTTAGCAATTAAAAAACAACACAAGATGTACAAAAATAAAATATTAATCAACTGCTACAATTATTAATAATAATAAACCATCCGGGTACGGTTGTTGTACCCGAAAGGTTGAGGAGTCATCGGCGTTAACGCACCTTTTTCTTGTCGCGCATCGATCCTTTTCCACGAACCATGATTTTGCAACCGGTTTCCAATTCGAGTTGTTTGGCTGTCATACCGCGAGGTCCCAGAATTCTTCCAACAAAGTTGAACTATAAAACAATACAACACAAAATACGTTAGTTGTGTACCAATCAACATATACAATATCATCATCATCATGTAGCTAACGGGCCATGAAGGCCCAACGCTGCCATCATGAGATGGTTTCTTGACGAATTCGCTTCCGGGACGGGTCGTCAATCCGTCGCCGGAGAATATATACAATATATATTTTTAAAAAAAAATTCTAATTAATATTTAAGTTATCAGACTAATATGTATACGGTTAATTTAATACTTAAACGACACAAGGGTCAACGAGACATGTGGTTCTGAAGTAGAGACCTACGTCCCTCAAAGATATGATATTATGTTGAAAACATTAAAAGTACCCTCGCCATTTTTTAGTTAAAATTTCAAATTTTATCTACTCGTGTAAATTATATTTTCGTACAACATACGAAAAATAAAAACAGTTTTGTGTGGAAAAAAAATTATTCCAGTAAATAAGCCAATTGTGTTTGGACTATATAGAGCATATTTTGTTAATCAAACTGATCATTGTGATGATTTCTTTTTCTAAGTGTAATTTGTTTATTAATGATCAGCAGAGTGCAACAACTAATGCAATACTATCTTAGTACCTACGGTTTTATACATATATATATATATATATTTTTTTTTTTTACTTATTTTGACATAATCTAAATTTGGCTAGTATCCCATATTATTTAAAGTAAACGACGTTTTTCGTTTTGAAAAAAAATTTTTAAACTGCATTAACGAGGTCAGAATATTTTTTTACAGTATCAGGGTAAAACAAATTTCACGTGTCAATTAATTAGAATGAAATGTACATGAAAAATCTGTCAGTATGTTTTTTGCGGTTTCCTTTGATATAATATCTGCTAGCACAACTGTCACGAAACGGATTTAACGCAATGCAAGTATTTTCTTATAGTCGAGGATATCCCTCTTTTTACAGAAAACACAAAAATAAAAAACACTGACAACTACATGATATTATCAACGATACTGTTTACTGGATCCTGAACAAGCCCTATGGCTGCGTGTAGAAACACATTAAAAAAAATTCAGCTCACAAATAATTAAACAGAGTACGACGCTTATGGCCGACGTTAAAATGACACTTGGCATCCACTGCTGTAATTATTATTCCATAACATTCAACGTTTTCAAGTGGTCGATAACATTGTATGTTTCATATTATTAATATGTGCCCAATACTTTAAACAGATGTCAATGTTAATACCCTGAGAAAATCACTCGGTATATAATTATAAATATTGTTTATGATTTTACTCGGACCGAATAAAGCCTTAACAGAGGTTCTTTTGACATTGTTAGCTAAAAATTTCACAATAAATTATTACCCCGACCACACTAACCACCGTACCTTTACTAACAGTAAATTTAGAAACGTACGGGACAAAAATATCCTGGTCGAACCCTTTTAAAAACAGTACTAACGATCATCACTGAAACGCAGTTGATGGTCAGATCCTTTTTTGTGAATTATTGCGTGGAAGATGGAGCCTACATTGTTTCAGGTCCATTATAGCTGTAGAAATAATATTAGTATTATAATATTTTGTACTACGGTTGGATTGTTGAGCTCTCGACCTTTTTCGCCCCATTATGGAATAATAATAATAATAATAAAACGTGACAAACCGTAACTGACAACCACGTGTGTTTTTCAAGAATCACAAACACACCGGAGATGGCGACGGTTGCCAGAAAAAAATTAAATCCAGAGAAAGAGGAACGCTCTATAAATAAGACTGTTTTTGTTGACTAACCGTCAGGCCAAATCGCACGTCCACCAGTGTTTTTTTGGCGACGGTCGATTTATTTCGCCGGTTTTGGCGTCACAGTAATAAGTCAACTCATAACCAAAGAGAAAAAGATAACGAAAAAATATATCATCACCAAAGCCCCGAGACCGGAGGATCGATTAACAGCTGACACGACGTCTTCTTCTAATGAACGCACAATCCGTGTACCTACACCCATAGAAAAAAAAACACCGTCCCGTCGACACGACATTTCCAAAAAAGGATTACACAGACCACCGCCGTTCTCTTCCACAGCCGAGTCATGCAACATAGTGTGTTAATAATAATAATATGCAAATTAACTAAGAGATTGTCACCGTAAGGACGAGGAAACGAACGCAATTCATAATAATAATTCTACTTGTTAACGGGCAACAGCTGCCGCTGTGTTCGGTACCGTCGCGGGCGGAAGAAGTTCGGTCATCGATGGAGAGAGAGAGAGAGAGAGAGAGAGGAGAGGAAAATAACAACCATCGATGAGAGTTTTCATGGAAGAGGTGAGGAGGAAACGGCGGCGGGCCGACACGCGAGGGCGCCGCCATTCGCACAAGCCGGTTGGCCATATTCAGCGTTGTCACGATCCTAAAAAAGAACCGGCGACGACCATATGGTCTGTCCTCCGGTCGCCGCCGTGTTTTCTCTGGCACGTTTATGATCTTTAACATTTCTATGTGTCTGTGTGTGTGTGGGGGGACCACGATGATTTTTTTTCTTTTTAAACGACCAAAATATAATATAATAATCGTTGTAACGATATTATAAATGTACGCCGTGTATAATGCACACACCACGGCCGGCCGCCGTATGGAAATTTAACGGCGTGGGATATCGTATCTCGCGTATGGTTTGGAAACGCCACCGCACATTCTCAGTTTTTTTTTCTTTGGAATATTTTTTCTTTTTATATATAATCGGATCACAACATTGAGGCGCAAATAAAACCACCGCCTCCTCTTGTATATTATATTATAAAATAAAAACGTCGACCCCGGCGCAGCACAATGTGTAATTAATAAATACAATATTTATATTCATTGCGATTTACCGCCACCCGATTTTTGCGCGTTTACATAATAATATTATAATATGGTCGGCCAGATCACACACACACACACACATGGTGTAATTTGTTTGAAGAGTGGAAGAGAAAACAAATGGTATCTCCATTAAAGGACATCCACGGTCGCCCGGACGCGCAAGTCGACTTCTTTGGCTTCGACCATCCCATAAACAATTTACACGTTATTATTATCATTATTATTGTTATTATTCGGTATTGCGACAAAACGACTATCAAGGACGGCCGGGGCAAACCCATTTTTCCGCTATTATAATAATGTTTATTATTATAGTATTATTTATTTTAATTTCCAAACGGTGGTGTACGCGATTTTTGTCAAGCCGACACTGTAGACGGGAGAAAAAATATCTACGCACAAGTCGTGACTCTTGTTTAAAGCAAGAAAAAAAAATCATGTAAGAAAACAACCGCAAACCGTACAATAATAAAAGTTCATATGGAAATCATCTCGTTGGAACATAATATTATTTTAATGTGTCGCATGCAATACCGGCTTTGAGAAATCACTACGGTTATACACTGTGGTTATAATGATGACTCATTATCACAACCACCACATGGATTAAAAAACGGTTGTCGTAACCTTCAAGAAAATCTATCGTTCCAAGTATATGAAAAATAATAATAATAATAATAATCATACCAAAAAACGAAAAACACAATGAAGGATCGGTTTTTGTGCAATTCCATTCGTTTCACAAGTAAATCCATTGGACATTTACTAAATGAATATTTATCAGGCTAACAAGACGTGCGGTTAGAACAAATTAACCGAAACCACCGCCGGATAGTTTAACGGACAATAGAGATACGATTAAAAAAAAAAAATACTTTAGTCGTGAGACGATCATTAATATTATAATATAATACATAATAATAGTATGTACGTCAAACCGGAGATTGGCGGAAGCAGATGTAACGAACCGATGACGGTAGAATTAAATTCTTTAATATTTTGCTTTTCTTTTAAGAACGGGCAGACCACTGATAAAACCTGTGGACCGTTATCAAAAAACATTGTTATCACAGAATAACCAGAATGGATACTTTAAGAAAATTACATGGGTCCTTATAAGCCGCTAAAAAAATCCGATTGCCATATTGTTTTTGCGACTAGAAGCGACACTATAATAGATAGACTATAGATAATCCCAAGACTTTAAACTTCTTCATACTTTCGAACTAAATACAGTCAGCAATTGATAGCACAAATTGAGTCATACAATGCAAGCGCCCACCAATTGTATTACCAAAATATATTATCAAACTAGAGATCTAAAATATGAATCCATGTTCTACCACTTTTTTTCCTATGTTTTTTTTACTATATTTTTATATTGGTTGACATAATATACTTTAACTTTGACTTTTACAGCTAATAATATCATGATAATGCAGTGTGAAATATTAAGTTATTTTATACCGTATAGTGCACGACTTTCATGATAATAAAATCGTTTTCCTTAAAAAAGAAAAGTTTTTATCGATTTTTACTTTATTTAAACTAATTGTAACTAGTAACTTAATTTGTAATATGTAATTAGAACGTAAGAAAATTGTATAGCATGTAATAACTAATATGCTGAAACATTTAAATTTTATTAAATAAAAAAAAAATACTTTATTCAATAATTAAAGAAATATATTCATAGGTATCATATTGGATTTTACAAGTTTACGTCGAAATAAAGCAAATTACATAACGTAAAAACATATTTTACCACTGCAGGGTACCTTTTTTAAATATTTAAATTTGTTATGTAAATTTAAATTCGAATATGACGTGGGAGATCGTGTCGAGTGCAAATTCAGGACGAGGGTGCCGACCTCAAATAGCTGGGACGAAGGCGAAGGAGATGAAGGAGTTATATTTAATTAATTTAAAAAAACAATGTTAACTAGTCCTACTATACAATTTTTTATTTTAATTTTACTACCGGGTAAAACGCGCAGAGGAACCAAAATAATTTCCAAACTGATTTTTACAAAAAAAAAAACACATGTGCCACATGGACCGCCAGCGGGTGTGGGTAATTGTATCGTTATAACGACAGCACCGGGGTAGTCTCGATAGTAGTGAAACGGCTGCCATCGTGCCTGTGGGGTAGAAGAATCTTCGGGTACACAGGAAGCACACACACACACACACATGCGGTTTGTGTATTATTATTTATAGAAAAAGCCTCTCTCGGTATGTGTGTACATGGAAGGGTCATTCGAGTACGGCATGTGCGTTAAATTAAAACACACACATAACCGGAGAATGAAAACGAGTAGATTTCCATAGTCAAGGTCTCTCTCTCGAACAGCCGTCGAGAAGTAGGCTCACCGCCGTTTCGAAAAGTGGAAAAGGAAAGAAGAAACGATAGAACCGGTACGATTATAATAATATAATATAAATCCAGCACACAGCACATTGTTCTCCTCCGGCCTCTAGCTATACATACACAAGTATAATACAATAATAATATATTTTATACAGTGTGTGTGTGTGTGTACACACACATGATACTGCTATTGCGCCAACGGCAAGGCCATTTAATAAAAAGAGTGAAAAACTACAAGATTTTCTCCAGGAGCGCGTAGTTCGAATTATTGGTATAATGTAACAATGTCGCGGTGGTTCGTAAATAAACCCCGAAAAGACTTGGGAAAGTGCCACGCGGGACACGCGATACCCGTCGAAAAGAAGAGCGCTTGGCACGGGCGCGTGACGTGTGGGCGGCGGCGGCGGCTGTGTTGTACAACGGATCCGTCTATTTTTACCGACTTGTCGTCCGTTTCCTCGAGCAGACGCCGTCGTCCGCCGCCCCGACGTGTAATATCCTTATTCTACACAAACGCACACGACGCCGTCGAGACTTACCTCCGGATGATCCTTAACTGGCACGAACACTTTTTCGGTAATGGTAACGGGAGCGCCGTCCGGTTCCGGCAAAACGAGCGGTTCCTTCTTGACGCCATTCACCTCGAACAGGCTGGCTCGGACTTTGGTGATTTCTGTGAACATGCAAACGAAATAGGTTTCATTATTGCCATTGTTGATCGATATTTTCACATAGAAATAAAAACAATCTAGTAATTTTATTAATCTCGTTGCACACACAATAATATAATGCAAGCACAAACGCTCAATCGTTTATAGTTTAGGTAGGTATACATAATATTTATATATACCATAGTCATCATGGTGTTATTATTCGTCAAGGAACACTCCTCTGTTTGCTTATTATCGACAAAAACGCGTCGCTCGCAAGAACACAACAACCTTCGTAATAAAACGCGTAGGTACGATTTCCTTTGTATCGTAACCACCGTAATTCTCATTTTTGGATACGCGTCACCCAGACGCCGCCGCTCTATTGTCTTCCGACGGTGTATTTTACCCACGATAACGGAATTACCGGCGGGCCAACCACCAACACACTCTATTAGGCGACAAGTGCGGTTTTTTAAGACTAGACATTTTCTATTAGGTATACAAAAAAAAAGAAAAACATTTAACAAGTATTATTGTCGTCGTCTCCCACATGACGTTTTCGTTTATTACAAATTAATAAGCTTTCCGCCCGCATAATATGTCCACAAGGGCTGGTCGTGTAACCGCAGAAACGATTTCCAATAATAATCGATGACGACCAACGGTATGAATCATTATAGTGATGATGAATAAGGCGCAAAGGTGCGGAGAGAAGAATTATTTCAACTTGGGAACAGTAAACGCCGAGTACAGGCGCAGTATACTGACGGTAGGTAGACAGGCGGGCGGCCGACCGCGGTGGTGGGCGTAGTATATTCGAGACGAGCGGCAAGGCGGCGGCGCCGTTACGCTGCCAACCGTAACGCCACGGCCGCTCCTCTTTGCCGTCCGCGCGACGACAACGGGCCGCGGAAATAATTCTCTCGGATCACAAAGGCCCGACAGTTTCCTATCATGTGCGCTATACATTTACCGGGCGCGGTCTCACTAAAACCCAATAACGTTTTAAATTTTTGTCGTTGTAAACGCGGCCGAAGAAACGGCCGACGGGTCACACGCCCACGAACGACCGAATTACATTATTATTACATAAATCCCGATCGACTTACACCCGACAACGGCGGCGGCAGCAGCGAATAGCGGTGTTCGTCGCGTCGGTCAGACTTTATCGCGGCGGCGGAACCGGACCCCGGGAGATTCCACGCAGTAGTATTATTCACGACACAAGTGCATTACATACAAACCGGTTTGCCGGTACAACCCGAACGACCGAGAGAGGGCAGGGAGGGTGGTGGTGCAGTAGTAAGAGAAGGGAAACGATGCGTTCAAGGTCTCTTTGTCGAGTACAGAACCCTTTTTTTACTGTAAAGTAAAAAAATGTAGACACCCGTGGGGGATGAAGACGGACGTGATTTTCAAAAAAAAAAAACCGATTTAGAAACAAAAAGCGTTAAACGTTAACCTAATCGTAGCGAGTTGAAAAAAAATTACGAAATCAAAATCCAAAAAATTTATTAATTATTAGTAAAAAAGAAACGCGGTTTAAAAAGTATATAAAACGCAGTTTTTTTTTAAATAACATCTGTTTTACACATAAGTCATAACATATCTTTTCAACCCTACGGCGGCTGCTGCGGTGTGTACTGTGCAACGTCGATGAACGAACCAAAAATAAAAAATACTGAAAGCATATTGTAGTAAAAAAATTAACAATTATAAAAATAACAACGCGTCTTGGTCGAGACGACTACGGTTTCGTAAAACCACCGGAACGTCTGTTTAAAAAAAATAAAATCAACTCGTTCTAAAAAAAGCTTGTTTCAGAGCAATTTTGATTTCATCACGTCTTCGTGACGGGTTCGGTGTGTGTCTCGTGCTTGAGTAATGTCTCTGACAACCGCTACAAGATTGAAAGTTAAATATAAAACAGAAATCATCAAATTTTTCGTTTTTTACGAAATTCAAACGTTTAGAATTTTCTCGAATCGGTAAATGGGTATTGCATTACTAGGCCGTGTAAAACAATACAATACACCAAGATTGCTACATTCATTATTATTATTATTGCTGCTTCTGTTGTTGCCGGGTCAGAGTCAGGAGCGCTTGTGACATCTACGTTCGTCTATATTACACATGTACTACTTATAAATTTATTATACCCCGTTCCCGGTGTTTTTCACATTGTTCTATTCAGTCCGTGTCGTGTCTCGAATTACCAATGACTCTTGGTTAAAGTTACCTGAATCCCCCCCCCTTATTTGTCTTCTTAGCTTCTTTTGCACACACACACACACACATCCACTGCAAATATTACCAATAATACATAATAAAAATAAATATATATATATTTCTGTACAACTCAATGGTTAGTTACAACTTTTGGCTGGAGAGGATTTGTATAGTGCTGTGGTTTTATAATAATATGTTATATTTTCACCGATCAACTTTTATGCGAGTGAGATGAGAATGATGTATCGCAGCAGAAGTTTATCGTCCGGGAATGGACCGTGAAGCTGGAAGAACTTTTATTTTTAAATGTTAATATTTTATGAAATTCGAATGAAGTAATCCAATTGGAATTATTTATTTAAAAATATTTTTCTAGCACACTTGCAGTTATCGCTGTAACTTATAAATTATAAAGACTTAAATATTACTGTGAAAATTTCTCTTTTCATCAGGTCACGAGTGCAACTAGATAAGTGGTTTTACAAGAGGTGGGTACTTCGCCAATTAAACCAAAATGTAAAATTGATCACCGCGAACAACGTCCAGCACGCGCTCATATACATTACAAATAAAAAACTACCCTCATAACTAAGGGCGCGGCGTCGCCTTTATTACAGACAAATTTATTTATATTTTATTATTACACATGCGGGCCCCCCTTATTAATTAACCGTCCAATGGTAATGAAAATTATTTTTGTTATACTTAAACGGGGTGCGGTGCAAAGTATTTACTTATTATTATCATTATTATTATTATTATTATTCGGCTACTGGCGTTGCGTTAATTCTTCGAAGGGGAGCAAAGCGCACAGGCCATGTAGACGGCCAGATCTCAAAATAGATACTTGCCCGATGCACTTGGCATCGTCTACCACGTGACGGCCATTTTGACTTTTTTCAACAAGCATTCTTTATTTATACACATATGTACATACTTGATATTACACACACAAACATGTCACAACGACTGAAAATATACGATTTTTCTTTATACAAAACCTAGTTTGGTAAATCCTCTGAGAACGCAAAATCTCGAACTGACAAAAAATATATAAATATAATAATTAATAACCTAAGCTAAAATATGAACTACAAACTGCAACTATAGCTCACAATCAGGATCTACTTTTACAAATCCGTTTTTTAAGTCTGTCAGTACAACAGTCGTTGATAACCGACGAGCATGCTTGTCACCGGTTACACACCACTCCTCAATAAAAAAAAATAATAATAATAATAGATATTACTACAATATTTGTAGTTATTAATTGTTATATTATTTTTATTATTGCTGTTGACAGTCATATTAGGAAGTAACACGAATACACCTTTTTTTAAAAAATAAAAATCTAGTGTTAACCACAGATATAATGGTTATTACTTATTAGTAGAGCCAGTAACGCTGTACTTAAAGAATGTGTTAAATATAAAGCAAAATATACCAAGCATTTATGGTCTAAAGTGTATATTAAAACACTGTCTACATAAACAGCGTAGTAAGCGATATAAAAATACCAATTAAATTGTTAAATACATGATAACAACAAAGCCTATTGTCAATGGTAAATATTTAAATTTCACATATAATTATATGGTATTAAAGTAGAAAGAATTTGTAGTAACATTTTTATTATTATTAAAAACCCGAGATCATATGAAATATATATATATATATATTTAATATTTTATACATATATATATTTTTTTTTAATATTTTATATATATATATATATTTTAATTATACAAGTTATGTATATGTTTTAAATATGATAAGTATACATATTATTTGAAATAAACCATTATGCTTCAACGCATTATTTGTGTTTAGCATAAGATATGCAAAATTAAAATTTGGTTTGTACTAATATGCAAATGCATATTTTAAAACAAGACTGCAAATGGTAAAAAAATAAATCAGTTACACCATTGAGCAAAGGAGATGATGAGCTACACAACCTACCACAGTCATAGATGAAGATATCTTTAGTTAATGGTACCTATCAATTAATATTCTTACCACAAACTTACACGATAATTTATGATCAAAGTAACCTAGTGTTTGAAATTCTGGGACAAAAATATCTTATTAATTCTACCGTGCGAGGTAAAAGTTGAGTCATTCTCTCACACTCGATGCTCATACCGGCCGACCATAGACGAGGGGGGCGCGCCGTTCATTTCTTACCATGTCTATCCGGTATAGACAGACAATAATTGTCGGAGAAAATATCTACGAAGAGTCATGGTTTACCGTCATCTATTTAAGGGTGTACAGTGTGTATTTGTACCGCACTCAAAACACATCATTTTCAAGTCTCGTGATTCATACTGTACCTATAGACTACTTGACAATATTTTATTAAAGTTTTGTAGAGGATTTTCGATCGTGTCGACAAATTTAAACGTAGATCAATACCGTTTTCACAAAATATTAATTTATATCGTGGCTTTACTGCAAACGTCCAAATCACCCGTGTGTAATAATAAAACAATTTTTCACGAGAAACAAACTGAATTGTAAAAAAAAAATGCGAAATGTTATCCTAGGATTGACTTATAAGTTCAACTTTTTGTTGAAAATTGCTTAACTTTTACCAATGCATCAAAACGGCGACAACGCACTTAAGACGGCAGACTCACTAGGCAAATTCTCGAGGATATATCAGAATAATAATAATATTAGACATAACACGAACACAAACAAAGACACATACATTGGTGAGTTGTTTTCCGTCGTATAACGATGAGAGGAGGAGGAGGGAGTGTACGACCAGGCCAGACGGTGCACGGCGCATTCCGGTCGTCGTGGCAGTTTCCAATGGCCACTGCAATCGGTCGTCGCCGCACTGAACTGCACCGACGACCGGTCCCTTATTAGGCATGTGGGCCAAAACGAATTTTTTTTCGACACATTGAATTCGACTTTTTCTTTTCACTCGAATTACAACAAAAACAATTTTTACCGTTTCCCATTGCCATAATCTCCTCCTAGGCGGTCGGACACGCGAATTTTAACCTGAATAAATAGTAAATCAAACCCCTTTGGCGCTCCGATTTAGCCTTACCTCGCACACGCACAACAGGCCGGGCCCCCTTCGCCCCTGGTCGGACACCACAACGTGAAAGCACCGCATCAGTGGCGACGGGAACTTTCAAACCACATCCATAGATAGCAATGCGGGTCAGTGGCGGCGGCCGGCAGTAGTCTCGGATGAAACACACAAACACACCATATGCCGGTTGCAACATTATCGTCAGAGTTTGTCACAATATTCCTACACACTACCCTCCTATGCAAAAATACCGTAACTCGAAAAATATTTTTTTTTTGTAACTGTTTAAATCAAGTAAGAAAACTATTTTACTTTGTTTATCGGGTTTTTAAAAAAAAACATTTTTTTCGAATTACGCCATTTTTGCTTAGGAAGGCAGTACACACTGGTCTCCTCGTTGTAATAATGATCTTTTAAATAAAGCCGTTATTATGGTCATTTGTAAGAAAGCAAAAAACTGCAGAGAACAACAGCCGTTGTCTTTATTAGTCCCTCGCCAGAGCACGTTCTATATTAATATAAATAATAATAATAATTGACAATTTCTGCTGCTTCGGGTGTTAAAAAAACGAATTGTGACAACGTCGTCGTAATGTATATAATATTGTTATTATTATTATTAATGTATTTTTGTACATAATATAACGGCCAAGGACAAATGAATTACTCGGTGCGAAATGGAAGGATATCGACTCTGTCGCATATGTTATTAAAATATGGGTCGGCGGCACTGCGCCCAAAGAAACCTCTAAACGACACTATCATAGTGTGTTAATAGTAGTACTAAGTAACTAGTAATGCAGGATGCCGTTCCCGCGGTCAAAAGGTCGTGCGAGACTAATCGTAGTTTTTATTTAGGAGAACAAAGCCCGGTGGAAGACACACTTCCGGACGAAAGATTTTCATCAGAACGGTTTAACGCGACAAAAGGTCATCTGGACACCTAATAGATTTTTAACAGACTCCGCAGCCGATTTCGCTCCAAACAAAACGAAACGCTAATTATCCTCCTCAGATGTTTGACGATTGCCTACAGGACAGTTGGATACTGTAAAATTATAAGGAAATTATATATTATTACGATAGAAATGGCTAAATGCACGGTTAAACGGAGTCCGACCGGTATTTATCGACAATCGACGCGGTCGATAAGAGAAAAAAGTAAAAACACCAAACGTGTACATTATCTCACAAGGAGACCGTGTAAAAAGAGACAATAATGTTTGTAAATAAAACAACTCTATCTATCGCATAACAATAAACAGGCATGATCATCACTGGATAATATTGCCCCAGACTTGGGAAAATACGTTTTACAGTGATAATTTCTCATAGTAAATATTATAAACATCTTCCACGACTAGGCAAAACGCGTGCAAATGCGCAAAGATAGGAAAAGTTCGTTATCTAGCAATCGTGCCTGTTTGTTTAGTCATCAACTATTGTACTTTAAAACACCAAACAATTTTTTTTGACTGGCCGAGTTTAGAATTCTTTCATTTAATTTGTAGTGAAAATATGCTCCTTTTTCAGATGTTTATTTTGATTTTTTTTTTTGATAAAACAAAACCATCAACAATTACAACACTAAACCAAACAACGCCAATATGAAAGATAAAAAGCGGCAATTTTTTTTAATTAAAACAAATTTTTAACATCCGAGACTCACACCAACCTCCAACAGTATTAGCATTTATGCTACGCTATGCGTTTATTTTTAAACGTTCGGATTTTCGGAGACCCAAAGGGTACTGTAGCAATTCAACTTGACTCTCTAAATGTATTTTCGGCTCGACTTACCGCGGAACTGATTTATACTACCACAAAGTGTCTTCGTGAACGATTTTCCACGTTGAAAAGTTACTGGGAAAAGTGAAATTTATACCGACCCCAACTCGATAATGGATACCGCCCGTTGCTAACAACAACCGACATGTCAATGACATCGGACCGCGGTTTCATTCGTCATCATCAAACGGTAAAATAATTATTATTATCGTCGTCCAAAGAGGTAATTATTATTTAATCTCGCAGTCAATCCAAAGGCGAACGTCTGTTCTATGCGACAAACGAGGCAATTAAAAAAATGGGTTGCCAAAACAAAAACAGTTTGCTCAAAACTACATAGTCAGCATAATAGTTTGTTTTTTTTTTTGTTTAAATCAACTGTATTTATTTTTATTTGTTGTAAGACAACATAAAAACGGGAATTTGGCCACAACCCCGTTCCATACAAACGCCGATGACTTTTTAAGTGGGTCGACGTGGAGTAACGCGGGACAAGTGCAATATTATTATGCTTTGGAATGTCTCGACCATCGACCATTATTATTCCGAACGGAAGAACAAAGCGATTAATAAGAAAAATAAGAAAAAAACAGTACACAAAACAAACGTTAGCGGTCTACGTGTAAAAAAAAAAATAACAGTAAACAACAAAGGATACCGCAAAATGAATAAAAATTTCCGATAACGCGCAGACGTGATTCCACTAGGTTCGTCTCGAACGGATTACAATAATTGGATATAATGTACAAATAACAGGTTATATTAATTTACTGTGCAAGTACGCGAGTAAAATAAATAAATTGAAAAAAAAGAAGCTAAACTGTAACTAGAGTCGATGAGAAAAAATTAAATAAATATTTTCCTTATCAGCGTTTCCGCGTTTCGCCTGCCGTAGGTTCCGCCCTATCATAACCGTCGCTCATCGTCGTCGTCCACATAATAACACTGTTATTGTTTATGGAAACGACTGAGAAACATTGAACATCATAATAATATTGTCACGACACATTTCCAACAGGGTTTCATCAGCCAAACCGGTCGACCATCGACGCAAATGACAAAAGGGGACATTTTTTTTTTTTTTTTTTATGATTATTAATAAAGTTTTCCTGAATTAAGATCATGATGAATTTGTGCTAAATTACATTTTTTTTAATTTTGGCGGTTTTTAACATCGTTCAGATAGTTAACTATTTACAAAACGTACAGTTCGTTAGGATAACATTGGGGGAGACTCGGCTCATCGAAAAAAAATGCCTTTGAGCATCTAAACTTTTCCTGATTTACTCGTAGAAAGACCCATTTATAGATCATGTTTTGCTCTCAAGCTGTGAACGTCAATGTCGTTTTAAGGTTTACAATAGATTGTATTGTTAGTTAACGGAACACTCGTCGAGAACGTAGAAATTATTTTGTTATCGATACCCAGCGCGGTTATTGGCTTCGTTATCGGCGAAACGTCGTTTCTCTGGGCCAAAGCGAAAAAGAACATATTTTGTAAAAAAAATAACTAACAAATGGAACATACGGACAACGAATAAGGAACGCGTTCTTATCGACCTAGTCGTCGCCGTTAGTTAGCCAAACGGCAACGCACACGCATAGTCTACGAACGACGAGGACAAAACGGGCAATATCGATGAGATCATCGAAAAAAATTATTATTATTATTACTGTACGTTTGTTAAAACAATAAGTGCCTACGCGTCGATTTCGGCAGTTTTTTAACAGCTCTCGTAACCACTTGTGCCGGCCGCTGACCGACGACGCGCTGCTAAGGCGAAAAAAAACAACAATATAAAAGGCGTTCAGGTTTTTTATTGTTTCAAGAAGGCAGCGGCCCCGCAACGAATGTGTGTAGTCGAATGGCGCGGGTTGGGTGCGGCGGCGGCCCACTTGTTGCGCAACGCCCCACACCAGCACCACACACACACACATGTGTGCGGAAAACCCTTTGGGGAACGACGCAGGAGCGCAGGCACGGGGACGGGACCGACGGGAAGAGGGACACGCCGCAGCGACTAAACCGGCGCGCCGACTCCAGGCGAGATCCCGACAAGGCCCGGCCCACCACGTCGATCCCTGCGCACAGGTGCACTGGCGGCGGCGGCACCTGTAGAGCACGTGGGACGGCGAGGCGGCGGCGGCACATTCCGGTCGTGAAACCGAATCCGTGAGCGCACATATTATAAACACGCCTAGTTCGTACAATATTAAATAGTAGTACACACTACATAATATACAATATTATTAAATGGCAACATCTTCGAGCGGCCTTCGGGCGCGCGCCGCGCTCAAAAAACACCATAAATATTTTACTCGTATTCTCGTGTACAATAGTCAACACAACGAAGCCGCCAAAAACCTTTACTGGCCGCTCTCGTGGTCGATGAATAATTACAGTCAATTGACGTCCCTCTAATTATTGCAATAATTTATAATTGATAAAAAAAAAGTAACAATAATAATAATAGTAACGGGAGACCGGTTGCGGGCGCGAAAGCCAACACACGAGTATGGAAATGCGACCTAGAAAAGAAAGCGTTTAACCGAAATCAGCTGAGGCCTGTGTGCGGCCTTATCACGGGCGTGCGTGCGTCCGGATACGTTCGATGATAATAATTTATTGCGTTTACCGCACAAAATAATAATATACACGGGCCTGCGAGAGACTATCACGAATTACGTCCGACGGCCGTGTCTTGATTTGTAAACGTAACGACCAAAAATTCCGAAAAGCTATCCGAAACGCGGGACGGCGCGCTGCAATCGCTGTGCCCGTCTGGCCTATCGAATAAAAGTTGGATGTTTTTTTTTTGTAATTACCTTCGTCGATGAGCCTTTCCACGTGCATGAACATGTTCGGGAACGCCGTGATCTGCTTGCGGTCTTTGAGCAGTTGCGCCAAATAATCGGCGATGCTCTGCGTGTTCACCGCGCTCATATCTGTCATTTTCATGGAAAGACTGTGTATGTACGCCGCTTCTTAAACGACCGACTGGCTACGTGGTCGGTGCTGTTTGTCGTTTGGCGTTTTCGGCGCGAATCGAGCTCTTGTGCGTTTTTCAATCAGACTGCCAAACCTGCCGTTGACATATTAATTGTTATGTTTATCGATGGTGTGTTCTGATTGCTGTCCGCGAACAAAACTCGGTCGGTACCTTGCGCGTTATTTGTTTTGTTAATAATTATTATCAATTGTAAGAATGTATAGATATTTTTTTTTTTTACTCCGTTTAGCGTTATCGGTCGAACGACGCGTCGCACTCGTTTGTTACGCCCGAAAATATTATATTTTAATTATTATGTTGAAGAGATAATACGAATAAAAATATAATACTATTGTTGTTAGAAACGATTTGTGTGTGTGTGAAAATTTACTTTCGGACTGCGGACGCGTATTGGACTGCGCACACGATGACGAGTGCTCTTTTAAACTAACCTCGGCCGCGGCCCGTAGGTCGGTCGACGTCGACCCGTCAGGCGCATGCGCCGACACCGCCGCCGGTGTGGTGAAAAACAGAACCAGACAAGATGACAATGCCTCAGCCGACAGCCGCTGTCGCACTTGTTATACAATAATTATTATTATTGCTATTATTTTTAATTATTATCATTATTGTATTATAATTATTAAAGTTCGGATTATTTAGCAAATACTAAAGCCTGGTTCGGTCATTGGAGGCAGAGTCGGCTGGACACGAGACCGTTGTCCAGTGTTATTTGAGGGGGGGAGATAGGTACACCGGTTTTTTGTTTTGTTTTTGTCTTATCCGATGAAAGAAACGGCCAAACCCTCAATGTCGTTATGATTATATTATATTATCAATTCATGCGGATAAAATAAATTAACCGAATGACTCAAAAGTTAACGCGTTCGACTATTTTGTAAACACCCGCCGTAAATGGATACGAGCGCCGACGAACGGGTCGACTTGCCTACGGCAGCAGCTGCGTCCATCCTCGGGTGCAATTTTTAGGTATTTGCTACATAATTAAAGTTTGAAAAGTCGTTTGGCCGAGATTGTTCCACTGGTTTTAATTAGTCGCCAACACGCGGTATTCGGTAATTCAATTAAAAAATTGCCCGTGTGTGTGTGCGAGCGCGCGCGCGAAGAAATAACAATATTAAGTATATTGTTATTACTTATTATTTACTATCGTTGCCGCTACTATTGCCTATTGTAACTATAGTAGTAGGTCTATGATTGTAACAAAGAGACGGAACCGGCGGCTAAGCAACACCGTGTAATTTGTCATGCTTTCCCGCCACCCGTCCCTGCAGCGAAGTGCTTTTTAACCGCATCCCGGTTGTTTTACCTACCAAACGACGTCCGACCATTATCTTTCTTCGGTATTTTTTTTTTTTTTGTTTAACAATAACAAACCGCTATTACGTCGGTTATTATTTAAATACACGACAATATATGACCCTATTAGCCACCACTAGCTGTACGGAACAACCCGTAATAGGTGTCCCATTTATCTGTATCCAGCTGTAGGCGGGGGAGTCGTTCCGCGTACAAATATTTACCTCTAGGCTTCCATTAAAAACCCATAACAGTCTTCCACACAGTGGAAACGACAGTCATCCGGTTAACACAACAACATGGATTCTGGAGAAAAATCCTAGTGCCCATATTCTCAAGGGTCATTTATAAAAGAGCAAATGATAGGCAATATATGACAAAAATTGATCTAAGCACCATTTAAAAATCCCAACTAATTTGCAAGTAAATAAATATTTCTAATTACAAAAATCGTAGTAATTTTTCTATTAAATTTTACCGAAAGTTACATAAAAAATGATACTCGTAGAGTTCACTTTTTGGCGAATCTATTGGATCCATTGGAGGAGATGTTTGGAAAGTGACTTTGCGTTTGAGTGTTTATTTATATCAAATCTGGCTATTTCTGTTACCCTTAAATGGTAAATGAAAGGAGTCTTTCTGAATGACTAACAAAATATTAAAATTTTGATTTGCCCCCTCAAACGCCAATGACAGAACAATAAATCAATTTATTTAACTGTCCAAAATAAAGATACCTGCCTCCCTCCTCCAATCGATAGTAGCCTATTGAAATTTTAAATTCCTAACATTTCATCAAACCCTAGCTCAACTAAAAAATAAAATAGTAGTACTTATAAATAATACTCTAAACTTAGATCAACTAAATTGGTAGACGATGACCTATAATCTAGAACGAGATAGCCCTTCCCATCCGCGGTGTTTTTGTTTTACTGGCTTTGAAATTAAAAAAAAAAAACGTTTAATACTAATTGGTTGTTATTAGCTGTTATCAATTGTCATAAGTCTTATAAACTACATTTATATTATGAACAAAGAAAAAACCATATGGTACCAATTTACCCGAGGCTATTAACTTTTAGCAATTGTTATCTTCATGGTGAATTTATTATTTGTGTCCAACAGAAGATGTTTAGGAGGTAAGGACTTCAATACTTTAGAAACTTAATTAAAATAGGGATTTTTCATTGGCCAAAAGAGATAGCAATACAGAATTAAGCTTCTGAAGGTTACAAATCGCCCTAAAGTCAAAATATTTAAACTATTTGTGTCGTATTTGTACCTCTACTGCTTTAATCAATTATTTTTCTGTTTCAGAACAACGACAGAATATTAAATAGGATTGATTCGGTAATATGGTTGTTACAATGCTAAGGTTTTACCTGCTTTTTCTGTATAGAAAAAAAACACACTTATTGTTTGTCATGTAGAAAACCGCATTTTTGTGGCAAAAATATTAAAAGTTGGTTTAGCCTACGGTTACAGTGTTTTCAATGCACCTATGCATAATCCGCACAATTTGCAAGTTTAAATAAAATGTGTGTTTTTTTTTTGAGGAATTCAAACCACAAGCTGGCTTACTGCTATCAACGTTATCCAACATGAAAAAACTGTAACAACCTTATCAACCTCGATTACAAACGATTACAAAAAAAAAAAAATAGTTAGCCAATCGCGATTAGGTACTCAACATAATTCATAAACTATATGTACTCTATTATACTTAATTGATAATTAAGGATTAACTATTATAAAAATTATAGAAAATAAACCTAAATATGTTTATAGACTTGTCACATAAAGCGTCTGTATTGATCATCACCCAAATTGTCTCTCCAAATTAATCACAAAATGATGCTTAACTCGAAAAAACTCTTAACTCTGATACACTATTAAGTGGCATTCATCAGCTGATGTAAGGTTGAATATGAAGGTCACAGTCCAACCACAATAGCTTTCGAAAGCATGAAAAATAAATTAAAAATTAAAACAAATAAATTAGTAAAAAACCATTAACATATTACATATTTTATTCAAAAAACAAATGAGTATAAGTTTAAAAAGATTATTGCTTTTTGATGTTAAGCGTTAACTAGATATTTCCCAGTTCTGATGTTGCCTAATATATTGGTTTAGATTTATTTCTCTTCGTAGATATTACATGTAAATCGGTAAGCCGTTTATCACCCATTGTTAATCTTAAGTGCAATTTTAATAAGCTTAAGCGAAAACAAAACGCTCACTGAAGTTCCTTAAAAAGCATTGAACATTTTGCTTAAGATTTTAGAAAGAGATAAATTGTGAGTAAATTGTAACATTTCGATTTAAATTAGGGTTTGACTGAATCTGAAAGTAGTAATGCATTTGAAAGTAATTGAAAAAAAAATAATGGCACATTAGTATTAGTACTAGTTGTAACTTGTAAGTAGTTTAAGTTCTAGAAAAAAGTATAAAAACGCAGTAAATTAAGGAGCATATTCACATAAATAATTAACATGGCGTCAGATGAATAATTTGGAAATTTGAGTAATATCGTTGAGCATATATTGTATGTACTTAATGGTAGTATCAACGAAGTGTCATGAGTATATTTTTTTAAAATTGCACTATGTAAATGTTATGATACCTTTTACTCATTGTGTTAAAATATCAAAGCCAAAAATTTAAAATTTAGCTTTTAGATCGTGTGTCAAGTTTATTGAATATAAGAAATGGCGAAGTATATCATACAATTTTAAACGGCATTTGTGTAAAACTATAAAAACAAATGTACTTAGTAGTTAGTACACACCTTAATAAACTTACACACACCGGTGTGACTTTTATCATCGATATGATGTTTTTTTTTGTGTTGTTTAATACAACTACATATGAGGAAAATAGTTAATATTGTCTATTTCGACACCACTAAAAATGACTGATTTATACAGATTAAGAGAAGAGAGGGCTACTGGAAATTACACTTTTCAGGTTTTAATGAATTGAGAAAAACTGAAGCAAAATTCAAATACAAGCACAAAAGAAGTATAATATTAATTACTTTATCAAGTCGGATTTGAACACACAACTTTTAACTGAACACCATTATCAATTACAACGAGCCTTAAATATAAGCCTTAGCCTTACATTATTTATATAATAATAATTTAGTTATTATTGCAAATGTAACTGTTAATATAAAATGTATAAATCATTATTAGCTTAGACGTTTAGGTACTATAACGTAAGAACTTGTTCAGCTTTGTCTAAGATTAGGGATCGGTTTGGCGTTTATTGAATGTTGCAAGTTTTGTATAAACTATAATAATAATAATACAGAACCGTAAATAAACGAAATTGATTTATTGAACAAAGATTCAGTCAATGATAATATTATTATGTAGTCTTATAATTTTCATTGGCAACTATAAATCAAAAATAACGAAAAGGCAACAGTATCATTTTCATCCGTTTGTAGGTCGGTATTATTATTTTTTTTAGTTTCGAGGACACGATTCAAATCAAAATATAGAACGGCCGTTAAGTTCTTCAGCCTTAATAACCGTCAAGTGAATTTCTTTGGATATCGTGCTCTTGTGTCGGTCTATGCTCATTATAGTGCAGTGCATAATACCTTAAACGGTTTCCGATGCGTTGTGATAACATTGAAAATGATAGTGGTCTCCCCCAATTTATCAATAAATTCTTTACCAAAGAGATGCCGGCTAGGCTCAACTTTACCCGTATGTATCCATTTAAGGTCCCCCCAAGATTAGGTTTCGGTCCACAGGCTGTCAACACACCAGTCTAATAATCGTTTAAACCGGCATATAAAATATATAATATTTCAAAATGATTTTTTTATCCCGTGGGTAGAACATTGTTGTTGTAATGTTGGCCGGATGCGACGGAAACTTCTGAGCGCCACATGCCACCGGCTTTCGAAACACGAATTGGCATTATATTCTATATTTACTAAACTCGTTGACAATATATGAAATACAATGAAATTTATGAAAAAGCCTTAATTTCATTTTGTACAAATCGTATGATGGCTTTCATAATGGCGGAAATCGGGGTTCAGCACCCAAAAATTATTGTGCAAGCATAAAAAATATGAAATGGTTTTATGTGTATTTAGT